ATGCTCTCGATCTGGTTGTTGAGGGACTTGAGCGTGGCGTCCACCTCCACGTCGTGCTGCCTCAGGCTCCCGGCGGCCTCGTCCGCCCTCATGTACCGGATGGGGTCGGGGCCCTTCTCGGGCTGGCCCAGCCCCGCGAACGCCGACATGTCGATGCCGGTGCCGGGCGGCCCGGGGGGGCCGGGGGGACCCGGGTTTCCAGGAGGACCCTGCGAGAGGAAGGAGATGCAATCCCGTCCTGGGGGGCTGCCCTGGCAGCTGGCCCCCCCCTCCCCTCCCCTGCCCATCCCGGGGGTTCTCACTCACCGCAGGGCCGGGTTCTCCGCTCCGCCCGCGGGGCCCGGGGGGGCCGGGGGGACCCGGGTTTCCAGGAGGACCCTGCGAGAGGAAGGAGATGCAATCCCGTCCTGGGGGGCTGCCCTGGCAGCTGGAACCCCCCTCCCCTCCCCTGCCCATCCCGGGGGTTTTCACTCACTGCAGGGCCGGGTTCTCCGCTCCGCCCGCGGGGCCCGGGGGGGCCGATGGGGCCGGGCATGCCATTGGAGCCGTCCTTGCCAGAGGGGCCCACGGGGCCAGGGGGACCCTGAAAGAGCCCCAAAAGGGAGGTCAGGGAAGGTGCTGGGCATCCCTCAGCTCCTGCCATCAGCTGACCCGGGCAGGGGCTTGAGGACAGAGGTGCCTCCTCCTCTCACCCCCTCCAAATTCCTTTTCCTCTCAACCCCCCAAACTCCTTTTCCTCTCAACCCCCCAAACTCCTTTTCCTCTCATTCCCCCCCAGGACTTACCCTGGGACCAGAGGGACCTGCGGGACCAGCAGCACCTTGGTCTCCAGAAGGACCCTGAGAAGGGAGGGGGGGTGATGGTTAAGCCTGGCATCAGGGGGTGCTCAGCCCCAGCAAAGCCTCACACGGGCTCGGGGCTCTGCCCGTGGCCACCTCCAGCTCCACGGGGAGACGTGGGGGGCTGGGGGTCCCCACACCAGCACTTACGGGGGGGCCAGGGAGACCCTGCAGGCCGGTGAAGCCACGGTGACCCTTCAGCCCTCTCTCTCCAGCCTCTCCCGTCTCGCCCTTGTCACCACGAGGCCCTTGGGGACCCTGGAAGGGGAGGGGTGGGGCCGTGTCAGGCTGAGAGTGGCAGACCCCCACCTGACACGACCCACGGCTGTCCCACATCACTCACCGGCATCCCCCGAGCGCCAGCAGGGCCAGAGGGACCCATGGGACCTTGTGCACCCTGGGGAGAGAAAAGAGCGTGGTCAGAAGCAGAAGACGCTGGGGGCAGGGGGTGCTCTCTGCCTTTGGGGGTGTCCAAACCGGCCCCACCGCTGGGAATCAGCGTCTTTAAACACCCTCAGCTGGAGCATCACACCCAATCGATCCTTGGAAATGGAGATATTCCCTGTTCCAGCTCCCAGGGCTCACAGCCCCCCAGGCAGAGCCCCAGCAGGGCGCTCAGGAATCCTCAGGAAGGTGCTCGGAGCTGCTCAGGGCACCCCTGAATCCCTGCCGGGCACTAAAGGCACCCGCCTGGCTCCCCCACCCCAGTTACTCCCTAACTCTTCCCTGACCTGCCCTCGGAGTGGTTCCTGTCTCCCCAAAAATACCCTCAGACCCACCATTCCGGCACTCACCGTCTCGCCTCTGTCTCCTTGTTTGCCGGTGGGACCCACGGGCCCGGGAGCGCCGGGAGCGCCGGGAGCACCGGGGGCACCCACGGGCCCCGTCTCGCCTCGGTCGCCCTGCGCAGGGACACGGGAGCGGCGTCAGAGCCGCGGGACTGGGGGCACGGGGGGCGTGGGGGGGAATTCACGGCACACTCACCTTCACTCCGGCCGCGCCGTCTCTTCCCGGGGGACCGTCGGAGCCGGGATTTCCCTGGGAGAAGAGGAGGAATCAAGGCTCGGCTGGGTGAAAACTCCCCTCTCCGAGCCGAAATCCAAGGGCAGAGCCCCGTGCCGGTGATGGGCAGGGGCACGGGGCACAAGGGGCAGCACGGGGGTCACCCGGGCGGGGGGCTGCCCCCTGTGCCCCCTCCCCACCCACCTCTCGGCCGGGTTCTCCAGCGGGACCCGTCAGGCCGGGGGGACCCACGGGGCCGGGGGGGCCTCGGTCGCCAGCAGAGCCGGGCGCTCCTTGTTTGCCGGGTTCACCCTGGAGGAACGGGAAGGGAGGACAAGAGGACAAGATCCGTGAGAGGGAGAACCCGGCACAGCCCTTCCCCCGGGAAATGCCCCCAAAGGAGCAGCTCCAGCAGCTACCGGGGGAGGCGGCTGCTGCCATCGGGCACAGGGGGTGCAGGGGGCTGAGTCTGGGGGTGACACGAGGGGTGACACAGGGGATGACAGTGAGGGTGACAACTGGGGGTGACACAGGGGGTGACACAGGGGATGGAAGGGGATGAAATCAGGCAGTGAAATGGGGTGACACAGGGGATGACACAGGGGGTGGAGGGGACTGAGTCTGGGGGTGACACTGGGGGTGACACTGGGGGTGAAAGGGGATGACACAGGGAGTGACACAGGAGGTGGAATGGGCTGAAATTAGGGGGTGACACAGGGGGTGACATAGGGAATGGAAGGGGTTGAACCCAGGAGGTGACACAGGGGATGACACAGGGAGTGACACAGAGGATGGAAGGGGATGAAATCAGGCAGTGAAATGGGGTGACACAGGGGATGACACAGGGGGTGGAGGGGACTGAGTCTGGGGGTGACACTAGGGGTGACACTGGGGGTGACAACTGGGGGTGACACAGGGGCTGATCCCGGGGTGTGACAGGGGCTGATCCCGGGGGTGAGCACTCACCGATGGCCCCGGCAGGCCGGGAAAGCCCCTCTCCCCGCGCTGCCCGGGGAGGCCGACGATGCCGCGCTGTCCCGCCAAGCCTTGGGGACCCGGGGGCCCGTCGGGACCCTGGGGGGAGGCAGAGCCGGGGGGTCAGAGCCGGGAGGGGGGTGGTGGCAGGGCCCTTACGGGCAGGAAGGGAGGTGCCCCCCCCAAATGTACCGCGGGACCGTCCTCGCCGGGCTCTCCCTTCTCCCCGGGGGGGCCGGCGGGGCCCTGCAGCCCGGGGTCCCCGGCACGGCCCGGGGGTCCGGCGTCGCCTCGAGCGCCCTTGGGACCGTCCTTGCCAGCGGAGCCGGGGGGCCCGGGGGGGCCTGGGTTACCCTGGGGGGCACAAGGTGGGGTTCAGTGCCAACAGAAGAGGCTTTTCCACCTTCATTATCCTCATCCTGTGGGGCTCCCGGGCTTGGAGAGCCCTGGGAAAGCCCCAGTGGTCCCAGTTGCCCCTGAGTGATCCCAGTTGCCCCAAAATGATCCTGGTTGCCCCCCAGTGATCCCAGTTGCTGCTCCCAAGTGATCCCTGTTTCCCCCCAGTGATCCCACTTGCCCCACGTGATCCCTGTTTCCTCCCAAGTGAACCCAGTAGCCCCTGAGCAACCCCAGTTGCCCCTGAGCGATCCCAGTTGCCCCCCTAGTGATCCCAGTTGTCCCTGAGTGATCCCAGTTGCCCCTGAATGATCCCAGTTGCCCCCCAGTGATCCCAGTTGCCCCAAAATGATCCTGGTTTCTCCCAAGTGATCCTGGTTGCCCCCAAGTGATCCCAGCTGCTCCCAAGTGATCCCTGTTGCCAAGTGATCCCTGTTTCCTCCAGAGTGAACCCAGTTGCCCCTGACCAATCCCAGTTGCCCCCCAGTGACCCCAGTTGCCCCCCAGCTGGATCCTGGCTGCTCCCAACTCACGTTAGGGCCGGGGGGTCCGACGCGTCCGGCAGCTCCGGGGAATCCGGTGGCTCCCTGGGGAAGGAGGAGGAAGGTGGCTCAGCCCCCCTCCCAGCCCCCTCCTTGCACCCCCCTTCCTTCCCCCAATACTCACAGGGGGTCCTTGAGCACCCCGGGCTCCTTTGGGACCAGTTACACCAGTTGGACCCTGGGAAGAGGAGAAAAACCAGTGAGAGACACGGGAGGGGGTGGGGGGTGCAATTTGGGGTTCCCCAAATTTCAGGGGGGGGGGTTCACCCCCATTTCGGGGGGCTCTGGCTGTACCCACCTGTGGGCCAGGGGCCCCAGAGGGGCCTTGGGGACCAGGGGCACCGGCGTCACCCTTCTGCCCGGGCTCTCCCTGCTCGCCTTTGGCACCCGGTTGCCCGTCGGCGCCCTGGGGGAAGGGGCTGCTCTCAGAGGGGGGAGCTGAAGCCGGGGGCACAGGGACCCAGACTGGGGCACCGGGACCCAAACTGGGGCACCGGGACCCAAACTGGGGTATTGGGACCCAAACTGGGGCACTGGGACCCAAACTGGGGGCACCAGGACCAAATACTCACCGGGGGTCCGGCAAATCCAGCGGGACCGGGGGCTCCGGGCTCCCCACGCTCCCCCTGTGTGGAGGGATGGGAGGTGGATGAGGGGGAGGAGGTCAGTGAGGGGGGTAAATGAGGGGGTAAAGGGGGTAAATGAGGGGGTAAAGGAGGTAAGTGATGTAAACAGAATGGGTAAATGAGGGGGTAAATAATGGGGTAAATGAGATAAATGGTGAGGTAGATGAGGTAAATGAGGGGGAAAATGAGGTAAGCAAGGGGGGTAAATGAGGGGGCAAGTGAGGGGGGTAAATGAGGCAAATGAGGGGGTAAATGAGGGGGTAAATGAGGGGGTAAATGAGGGACAAAGAGCAACAGTGGCACCACCAGCAGCTGGGGGGCTGTGACAGGGCAGCACTTACGGGGGCACCGCGGGCACCGGCAGCGCCGGAGGGGCCGGGAGGGCCGGATTCACCCTGGGAAAGAAAGGATGGAGGGTCGGGGGGGGGTCCGGGCGGGGTCTCCCGGGCTCGGGGGCAGCCGAGGGGCTGCCCGGGCTCTCTCACCTTCTCGCCGTTGGGGCCGGCGGGGCCGGGGGGGCCGATGGGACCCGTCAGACCCTGCAGGGGGGAGGGAGAGGAGGGTGAGTGAGGCCACCTGAGCGTCCTCCAGCAGCCACACCCCTGTCCCACCCTGTCCCACCCCTGTCCCACCCCTGTCCCACCCCGTCCCACTCACGCGGGCGCCGTCCTTGCCGGGGGCTCCCTCGGGGCCCTTCTCGCCGACGTCTCCCTGTGGGGTGACACGGAGGGCAGGGTGAGCCGAGCCGAGACCCGACGGCACTCATGACATCCCCCCCAGCACCCAGCACTCACCCTGTCTCCCTTGGGACCGGCGATTCCGGCCGCTCCTCTCTCCCCGGGCATCCCCTGCAGCCCGGGGGGTCCCTGGGCGCCGTTGGGGCCGGCGGGGCCGGTGGCACCCTAAAGCAGAGCGGAGGGGGCGGTTTTTGGGGTGCCGAGCCCGCCCTGAGCTGACGAACACCCCCCACCCCGGTGCCACAGCCCTGCTGGCGGCACCGGGCGCTGTCCCCGCCGTCACCCACCTTGGGCCCGTCGGTGCCGGGGGTCCCGGGCAGCCCGCGGGGTCCCTGCAGCCCTTGGGCACCGGGAGAGCCGCGCTCGCCGGGGAAGCCGCGCTCGCCCTGCCGGGAGGGGGGGGAGGGCGTGAGGAAGGGGAAGGGAAAGGGAAAGGTGACAACGCGCTGTCCCCGCGGAGGGAGAGCAGGAGGGGCACCAGCCCGCGGTGCCCCCAGGGGGACCGGTCACCAGGATGGGGGGAGCTGGTGGCCATGGAAGGGACGG